AGTGGCCAATGTAAGAAGGGGTCACCACCCAGAGCCAAGAGCAGGTGTGTGATCTTCACGTCTCGCTGGGATTTGGAGGTCAGGGAGCAATACCCAACCTATGGTGAAGACTCTGAGGCACAGTGAAGTTGCCTGAACCATATAATCCCTCACCTTACAAGTGCCAGAATAAGATGGCAGACTTCCCGTTGAGTGCTTCTATTTCCCTGCCTTCAGCAAGCCCAGCTGGCTAAGTCTATTAGCTGAGCATCCCTCCACATGGGTGCCCATAATGGTCTTTCCCAGCCCGCAGAACCCCTTCTCTTTGAGGCCCCACCCCAACTCCCAGACCCATGATGCGACTCCTAATGCTCTGAGGCATCGGGAAGGGAGGGGCGGCCAGGATGGTGCTAAAAGGGGTGGTCCTCGCCATAATCCCCCAAAGCCCCCAGCCTCGAGGGGGCCTGGGTGGAGTAGGGGAGGCCGTGCTAGGAGGCCCATTAGCCTTCAGCTAGGCTCCTGTGGACCCAGGTCTCCAGAGAGCAGGCGGGCATCCTTCCTGCCTTTATATCTGGAGCTCCTTCTCACACTTCTCAAAGGGAGCAAAGGTCCTTGAGGATGGGATGCCCCAAATCAAAGCTTTTATGAGGTTGGGAGCAGTGGTATCCTTGCTTAGTGGAAGAGACACTGAGCCAGAAAAGCAGCGAAACAGCTGAAATCCCCGGTCCAGGGGAACTGTGGACACCTCCAGGGACCAGAGCCAAGAGGAATCAGCACCCTTTTCGGAAGGACAGATGAACACATCCAGGAGCAGGTGAAGGGCTTGTTTCTTTTCTTTTCTTTTTGTTGTTATTGTTTTTTTTTTTTTTTTTTTTTTTTTTTTTTTTTTTTTTTTTTTTTTTTTTTTTTTTTTTTTTTTTTTTTTTTTTTTTGGGACAGGGTTTCTCTGAGTAGCCCTGGCTGTCCTGGAACTCGCTCTGTAGACCAGGCTGGCTTCGAACTCAGAGATCCACCTGAAGGTTTGTTTCTTTTTACGGTCTGGGTGGAGGTGGGAGGCTACAGCAGTGCAAGACCCACTAGAATCAGTGAGAGCCTGGCTCTGCCGGGGCAGCTCAAAGACCCAGGCAGATGTCTCAGCCTCTCCAGTCGGGCTTTGAAAACTGGCTCAGGGGTGTGTCAAGTGTGACCAGAGGTAACCGCAGACCAAGGGCAAGGGCGGGAAGAGCAAGACACCAGGTTAGGGAAGAGACAGACCTGGAAGCCCATGAACTCAGCCTGACACTGAGGCTGATGGACAGTCCTGAATCTTAATGCTCAGCTGACAAAGAACAGGTGAAGGCAGAGCTAGCTGAGCATGCTCTCCGCCCCCCGCCAGACCTCCTGCTCCCCAACACACACACACACACACACACACACACACACACAAACGAGGGAGAGAGAGAGAGAGAGAGAGAGAGAGAGAGAGAGAGAGATTCCAATGTCAAAATGAACTCTAAATTCAGTCTCATTTTGGAGCATAAGACTGGGAACAGAGAATATACTGTTGTTTTGAGACAAGATCTCTTATAGCCCAGGCTGGACTCAAACTCCCAATGTAGCAAAGGATGACCTTGAACATCTAATCCTCCTGATTTCGCCTTGTAAGTGCTAAGATGACAGCTGGGAATCATCACACCCAGCTTTTGTAAGTCCGGCGTGGAACCCAAAGCTTTGAGCGTGTCAGGCAAACATATCACCCACTGAGCTACATGCCAGGTTCTTTCCTTCCTTTTCACTTTTTTCCTTTTTCTTCCCTTTCTCTCTTCTTTCTTTCCCTTCTCTTTGCTATTTTATTTTATTCTTTGAGATCTGGATTATGTAACCCAGACCTGGAACTCTGTTTTTGGTTGTGAGCCTAGCATTTAACAGCTGAGCCATCTCTCCAGCCCAAAGCCTGGAACTCTATAAGAAGCCCACACTAGTCTCAAACTAGTGATCCCTCTGTCTCAGTCTTACAAGTTTTAGGATTACAAGCATGCACTCCCACTCCAGAATGGCTCCAGAGCTTCCTGCATGCTGGCAATTGCTTTGCCAGAGAATCGTGTCCTCGGCCCAAGAAAATGCTTTCAAAATTTATTTATTTGTTTGTTTACTATGGCCCAGAACAATTTAAAATCAGACATATTTTTAGGGACGCTTCAAACATGATACCTAAGCCATATGGCTGCCTAAATAAGACGTGAACAAGGCAAATACCAGTGGACATGCTAACGTGGGAAGGGGAAGTCTCTGGGGCCCCACCTCTAGACAAAGAACTACAGGCATCTAAGGGATGCTGAGAGAGAAAAACACTTTCCCCAAGGGAGGAGCCCACTGATGGGTTGTCTGACACCAAGTGATCAGACCCCAAATCACTTACATGCAAACAACACTGAACAAGCTTAGCGGATTGTGTGTGTGTCTGTGTGGTGTGTGTGAACGTGGTGTGGTATGAATGTATGAGTGTGTGTGAGTATATGTGGTGTGTGAATGTGTGTATGTGAATATATGTGTGTGATGTATGTGTGGTGTGTGAATTTGTGTAGTATGTATTAATGTGTGTGTGGTGTGTGTAAGTGTGTATGTGTGTGTGTGTGTGTGTAACAAAAGCAATTAGAGAGAGGCTAGGAAAAAATCAGAAATATTTATTTGAAGCTCAATAATGGAGCTAAGGAATGGAGACACATGAACGACACGGCACTCGTACCTGAAGGGAAGTTCAGTGCTATCAGCCTGTCAGAGCCAAGGGACAGGGCAGCAGGGACCATTCCCAGGTCAGAAGGACAAATATCCCAAGGACATGGGTGGTACTTTCACAACACAAGCAGTATCCCGTTCTTCCTGGAGTGTTTCCCGGAGGCGTGTTCACCCTCTGCTAGGAGAGCAGTAGCTCGCATGGGTCGGGGTGGTTCTCAGCTGTGCCTCAGGTTCAAAGTTCTTAGAAGAACCCCCAAATTAGCCTAGAGGCCCCCAAAAGCTGAGTGATCAATAGTTCCACAAGAGTCCAACAGGCACCCACAGGCCCTGACCAAGACCTAGGAAGGGAAGGCCATTGAGGGTGGCTCTACCCACTCTCACATCCCCACTGTGCCTGCTGCTGGGCTCACCAGTGAGGGCACATTCTCCCCTCTCCCCAGCTCAGGGGGAACCTCCAGAAGTGCAGCTGTGTGGCCGTGACAAACGTGGCATTCTGCTTTTGCAGCATGTGCTCCCTGTGATTGCTGTGACAGTGACCACAGGCCCAATGGCTTCAGAGAGTGGATCCAGGGTTAAGGGGCTTGCTGCACAGTGTGATAGCTTAAATTCAATCCCAGGATTTACATGGTCAGAGCTGCTGATAGAGGAGCTGGACCTGGACCAGCACAGGAAGTTTTTGTTTTGTTTCTGAGACATGGTCTCATGTAGCCCAGGCTAGCCTCAAACTCCCTATGCAGCTGAGTATAACCTTAAATTTCTTGTTTTTATTACATTGTGTGTGTATGTGTGTGCATGAGAGAGAGAGAGACAGAGACCAAGAGAGAAAGAGACAGAGAGACAGAGAGAGACACAAATGCTTGACTATACATGCCTCGGCAGGTCTGTGTTGAAGTCTATTCTTTCCTCTGACCATGTGGAAGGAGAGAACCATCCCCTGGAAGTCTCATCTCTGTGAGAGTGACAGGGAGCTCACAACCATTTGTAACTCCAGTGTGAGGGGATTTGACAACCCCTTCTGGTCTTCATGAGCACCCACAGACATGTCTTACACACACTCAGATATATACACATAAGTAAAATAAAAATGAAAAATTAAATCTTAAAATGTTCTGAGACTCCAGGAGAGTACTACAGCGAATTTTATACTGACAAGTGGGAACCCAGAGGGCAAGAGTATTTTGATATTAACAAATGGCACACTCTAAGCAATGGCTCTCAAGCAGAGATGATGCCTGAATAGCCCTAATACACTAAAAATTGGATCTGGAGCTTTGTTTTGGAGCTCTGAACATCCAGTCCCACACACAGCAATGACCAGATGGTTTTGTCTTCTGCCAAGCCTTCAAAGAAAGCAGGTCTTGCAGGGCATAGACTGCTCTGGAGGCAGAGGAACAGCCACACCTCCGACCCGTTTTTTAATTGCAATAACGACAGACAAAAGCAGAAGCAGGAGCACAGTGAGTGGCAATTTCATCCATGAGTGGAGACAAAGGTACCTGGAACAGAATCAGGTCACGGTCAGGTGCAGAGACACATGCCTTCCCCAGCGACGGGGAGGTAGAAGCAGGAGAATCAGGACTCCTAAACTAGCTTGGGTTATATGATACCCTGTTTCAGAAAAAGAAAGAAAGAAAGAGGGAGGGAGGAAGGAAGGAAGGAAGGAAGGAAGGAAGGAAGGAAGGAAGGAAGGAAGGAGGAAGCCATATTAAACTAGGAAAAGGGAGAGGATGAGGAAAAAGAGATGAAGAGGTGGCTGGAGAGATGGTTCACTGGTCAAGAGCGCTTGTTCTTGCAGAGGACTGGGTTTGGTCCTCAGCGCCCACATGGTAACTCACCGTGATAACCTCAGTTCCAGTGGAGCCAATAGCCTTCTGGCCTCCAATGGCACCGCATTCATGTGACACACTACATACATGCAGGCAAAACACCCACATACACAAAATGAAAATAACTTTTTAAAAAACAATGACACTACACTGGGTGTGATGCTATACAGTTTTAATGCCAGCACTTGGGAAGCTGAGGCAGGGGGATCAGGAATTCAAGCTCCTCCTCAGCTACACAGGGAGTTCGAGGCCAGCTTGGGCTACATGAGACCCTGTCTCAACAAAAGAACTACACTCAGGCTGGGAGGGAGCGGAACCTGGGGAGTGTATTTAGCAGGTAGGCAGGTGCCTGTCTGGTTCTTTGCCGGATTCAGCCACAGTGGGAGCCCGGGGATGCCTGAAGGAAAATTTCAGCATTCCCACAGGTCCAATGGTCCAGCAACACAGAATTTAACCCAGGTCCCTTTTCCTTCCTTATGAATGAACTACATTAGCAACAGCAGCCCGGCCTCAGGTCTGACCTTCAGCCCCACCATGGACTCTGTGACCTGGGTCTACTTTTCGGTGACATTTCTTGCCATGGTTACCTGTGTTTTGGGCATGGCAGGCAACAGTGTGGTGATGTGGCTGCTGAGCTTCCGTGTGCAGAGGTCCCCCTTCTGTGTGTACGTTCTCAACCTGGCGGTGGCTGACCTCCTCTTCCTGTTCTGCATGGCGTCCATGCTCGGCCTGGAAACAAGGCTCCTGCTCCCAGCCAGCACCTCCACCAAAATCTACGAGGGAGTGAGGAGAATCAAGTACTTTGCCTACACTGCCGGCCTGAGTTTGCTGACGGCCATCAGCACCCTGCGCTGCCTCTCTGTGCTTTTCCCCATCTGGTATAAGTGCCACCAGCCCCAGCACCTGTCAGCGGCAGTGTGTGGTGTGCTCTGGGTACTGGCCCTGCTGATGAACTTCCTGGCTTCATTCTTCTGCGTCCAGTTCTGGCATCCCAGCAAGGAGCTGTGCTTCATGATGGACATGGTGGTCAGTAGTATTATCCTGGGGATTTTCATGCCCATCATGATCCTGTCCAGCACCATTCTCCTCATCCGGGTACGGAAGAACACCCTGCTGCGGAGACGGCGGCCCCGTCGGCTGTTTGTGGTCATCCTGGCTTCTGTCTTCGTGTTCCTCACCTGCTCGTTGCCCCTGGGCTTCTACTGGTTCTTTCTCTACTGGGAGGAGCTGCCACAGAACGTGGTCTCCCTGTATATCTGCTTGTCACGCTTCTCTTCGTGCTTGAGCAGCAGCGCCAACCCAGTCATCTACTTCCTTGTGGGCAGCCAGAAGAGCCACCGGCTGCAGGACTCCCTGGGCGCTGTGCTGGGGCGGGCGCTTCGGGACGAGCCTGAGCCAGAGGGCAGGGAAACACCGTCCATGTGCACCAATGATGAGGTCTAAAGGCAGCCCACCTAAGGCCTCCCTGCCAGCCCCTCCCAGCCTTTCCCTATGAGTATTCCACTGGCCTTCAGTGGGTGGCCTAAAAGGTCTTGCAGCTCACCATTTGGGGTCACTTTCCTCTTTGCCAAAGGGCTCACCACTGTCACCTTGTGTTCCTAATCTAAACTGGGAGATGAGGCAACATTTCTTTCCATTTCACCTGTTTAGACACAGATCCTAGCTTTAGGCTCCATCTTGTGCAAGGTTGTCTGGGAAATAGAGTCTCCAGGTGGAGACAGCTGCTCGTGTGGGTGGAAAAGGTCAGTCTTAGCCACCTTATCTGTTTGAGATGGCAGCAATCCTACTTTGATTTCAGTTGTTGGGAGAAATTCCCTAACAAAAAGCAAGACGGGGAGAAACAGTTTATTTGACTTACAACTGCAGATCACAACCCATCATTTCAGGGAAATCAAGGCAAGAATTAAAGCAGATAGGGATGTCATGTCAAGAGGAAAAAAAAGAAAGAAAGGAGAGAGGGGAGAGAGAGAGAGAGCAAGCAAATGCATTTATCCATCCCTGCTTGCTTACTCTCAGCTAGCTTTTTTCTCTCTTAGTCTGTCTAGAACTCTCTGCCTGGGGAATGGTGTTGCCCACAGTGGTGTGTCAATCAACAATCAAGACAATCCCTCAGAGACATGCCCAAAAGCTAACCTGATCTAGTTAATTCTTCACTGAGGCTTTCTCCCTAAGTGATTCTAGGTTGTGCTGGGTTGACAGTTAAAGCTAAACAACACAGCACCTTGGACTTGGGGGGTATACTGGTGACGCCACTCCGTGCTCAAAGCGCTAGCTCTGATGCACTTGTCATTGAGTGTGCCTGCAGCAGATTGTGTGACTTTTCCTGGGGTGACATGGACACACATCTACACATCCCAGACGGGGCACTGATGACAGACCAAGGAACAATCCCATCCAATCCCAGTCTGATGATCCAGTGAGTTATTGGCTCACAGAAGTGTGGATCAGAGGTTACTGATAGAAATGTAGGCGACCCTAAAACAGCAACATCTCTGAAAAGTCCCACCCTAGCATGGATGACAACTCCCAGAGGCTGTGCAGGTGGAGGGCTCCCTTACTAACTATCCTCCTCATGCTAAAATCTCCCCAAACCAAAAGCAGCTGGCGTGGTGTTATCTCCAGTGGAGGGGAGGCACAGGAGGAGGGGGAGGAGTCTCAGACTCTTCTACCCTCTTTTCTTGAGAGGACCCCCACCGGCTTCTTCATGAAGTTCTCTGAGGGAGCTTACAACTGCTTAGTCATGGTGGCAATGGTTGTGACTGATAACCAGTGAACAGAACTCCACAGGTCAGCCAGCTGTGTCACCGTCTCTGACCACATCTCACTGCCCTCTTCCCCCACTTGACCCCTGGCTCACCCGCAGGCTCTGACTTGACCTGTGGTGTCCTCTTGTATCCCTAGTTCCCTGACAGGCCCATAGACTTTTCCCCAAGATGCCTGCACTGGTTGGCCTTGAAGCAGCAAAGGACAGAAACCTGGCAGTCAGAGGTTGGGAGGAAGGAGAGAGGGACAAGATGGAAAGAGGTTGCTGAACAGACAAAGCTCTGTGGGAGGCAGGGACAGCAGGGAGCCTGAGTCAATAGGATCTGGAAGGCTTTAGCAAAGGCCAGTGTACCATGTTTGAGGTGACAGAAATGCTGGTCACCCCATTGTATATATATATGCATTGAAATGGCACCTTGAACCCCATAATCCTGCATGATTCTTACGTGTAATTAACAATAAAAGACAACAGAAAAGAAGAACAAAACAAAAGACACAAGAAGACCTCTGTGTTTCCGACCTAATTGCAGCCTCTGAATCCTGGGCATTATCTTCGACACTATTCAGTAAACAATCCTCAGCCACTGCCCTCCAACTGAAGGGCACCTCAGTGGCCGCTTCGGCCAGTTATTGGCCTAGGAACTATTTCTGGAATCTCACTGGGTTGTTTAGTTTTGTTTGGTTTGATTTTTTTGAGATCCACACACACACACTCGGAAATTGAGAAAAAGATTCCCCTTGGAATCAGATGAAGAGATATTGCATACCAGACTGGATCTCCAACAGTGAGTACAGCCTCTATCCTTTTCTTTTTAAAGTGTTATTTGGGCCCTACAAGCCTTTAATCCCTACACTCTGCAGGCAGGGGCAGGTTAATTCCTTAGTTCGAGGCCAGCCTGGTCTACAAAGTGAGTTCCAGGACAACCAGGACTTTGTAGAAAGACCCTGTCTCAATGCCCTCCAGCAAGGATTACCCCCTCCAAAAATATCATTTAATTTTATTGTGTATGGTATTTTTGCCTAAAAGCATGTGTACCATGGATGTGCACAGTGCCTGTGGAGGCCAGAAGAGGGCGTCAGATCCCCTGGAACTGGAGTTACAGATGGTTGTGCGCCACCACGAAGGTTCAGCCTTCTTTTTTACTTTTTGTTTTGAGACCTAGCCTTGCTATGTAGCCCCAGCTAGACGACTGGTATGTAGCCCAGGCTGGCCTTAACTGTGTGATCCTCTTGTCTCAGCCTCCTGAGTGCTGGAATTACAGCTTCTTCTCACTTTTTGTTTGAAGATGGGGTCTCCCTCAGTTGTTCAGACAAGCCTTGAGCCATGAGAAACATGGAGGCGGAGAGGCAAGTTTACCTCACGACTTTGCAAAGCCTGAAGCCAGCACAAAATCATCGGCCTTATACTCCAGCGCAGGCCGCTGCCTTCCTCCCACCAACAGAGCGACCAGGAGGTCACACTCTGACATGGGGGCTCAGTCTTGTCTTTGTTCTTTGTTTTTTCTAGACAGGGTGTCTCTGTATAGCCCTGGGTGTCCTGGAACTCACTCTGTAAATCAGACTGGCCTTGAACTCACAGAGATTCTCCTGCCTCTGCCTGCTGAGTGCTGGAATTAAAGGTGTGTGCCACCACAGCACGGCTGTGAGCTGAGGCTTCTGCTCCTCTGGTGCCTAGGTTTGACAACAACAACAAACACGGTTGGACTTCCTCTGTGTTTTAAACCTATCTGTTTTATAGCTTATTAGACAGAGGACCTCTTCACCTCTGGATGCAGGTCATTAGGCAGGAGTGGCTGATAGTTATTTTCTACTCTAAACTACTAGTTTGGGTGACGGTAGCAAGACTAGCAGAGTTTGAGTAGGGTTAGCTTAATTTAGCGGGATACCAGAAAGGGCCCCATATATAATCTTCCTGCCTCTGCCTCCAGAGCAGCTGGGATTGCAAGCTGGCCTGCACTTGTTCTTGATCCAGGTCCAGAAGTGGCCTGAGTGGTTTCCATCGCACTGCAAGGAAGAGCCCAGAGGCACAGGGGTCTGGCCACGTAGTGTTGGGAGACAGATGGGAGCTTTAGTCACAGCCCAGACCTCTCAGAAGTCCCCAGCACTCACCTTACTAGACCTGGATGGAAGTGGGTGGTCCTTGGACTTCCCACAGGGCAGGGAACCCTGATTGCTCTTTGGGCTGACGAGGGAGGGGGACTTGATTGGGGGAGGGGGAGGGAAAGGGGAGGCGGCTGTGGGGAAGAGACAGAAATCTTTAATAAATAAATAAATATTTCACACAAAAAAAAGGAAGTCCCCAGCACTAATTACAGTAGATGCTACAGGGGACCAGAGCCCCTGAGCTGAGGGCAAGAGATGAGGCTCCCTGGAGGGGCTGGGTGCTATCCAGGAGTGCTGGAGACTCCCCGGAGAGGCTGGGTGCTGTCCAGGAGTGCTGGAGACTCCCTGGAGAGGCTGGGTGCTGTCCAGGAGTGCTGGAGACTCCCTGGAGGGCTGGGTGTTATCTGGGAGTGCTGGAGTCTTCCTGGAGGGCTGGGTGCTGTCCAGGAGTGCTAGAGGCTACCTGGAGGGACTGGGTGCCTGAGGTTAGAGAGGAGAACCAGGGGCTCAGCAGGTAATACCCCTTTCAGGTCAATATGAGGTATGATGGAAAAATGAAAAAAATCTTGAGGATGCAAGACAGGAACCAAGACCCTCACTCAGGAATCTGGTTAAAGCCTCTTGCCAGTAAAGAAGTGGAGATTCCAAAACTAACTGTCCAGGCCTTCCCCTCCCAGCTGTGAATCTGCAGTTTCTCATAATCTCTCAGAAACCCTGTTGACAAGAAGGATGTGTCCTAAACCCTTGGCCAACTTACAGGCTTCTAGATTCACCTTACCTGGCTTAATCCATTCGAAACATCACCAGAGTCACCTTATAATCTCCCTTATCATTGGGGGTGAGAGAGAGAGAGAGAAAGAGAAGGTGGAGGAGAGCCCTTAGCAACCGTTAAGATGGAACTTGAAGCCAGCAAAGGAATGTGTGCAGCTAACACTGGGACTCCACAATAGCCGTCCCTGCCTGAGGTGCTCTGACCATCTGTGGACACTGGTCTTTTCATCTGCTACTCTCTTTAAAAGTCCACACCCACATCTCGGGTGAATGTCACTTTCTCCCAAGGGTCTCTCTCCTAACTTTAGTGCTAAGCCTGCATTAAAATGTTTGGAACCAAGAGGTGACTCAGTCAAGTTCTTGCAATCCCAAAGACTTGAGTTCGGATCCCAGAACCCATATAAAAAGCTGGGCACAGCGGTCACACGTTCCTGTGATTCCAGGCCTGCGGAGAAGGGACCGGGTGGAGACAACCAATCCCTGATGTGTGGCAAGCCCTCCATGAGGTTCAGGCTCAATAGACCCCTTCCCAAAACAATGGTGGAGTCTAGTGGAAGAAAGACACTAATATCAACCTCCATATTCACACCCACACATTCACACACCTACACCAACAAGTGCATCCCTCACACAAAAGCCACAACTGCTTGTAACTTCAGATCCAGGGGATCCAAGGCCCTGTAGCTTCAGTGGGTACCCACACTCTCACACACACACACACAGCGAGAGAGAGAGAGAGAGAGAGAGAGAGAGAGAGAGAGAGAGAGAGAATAGAGGATGGAGAGACAGCTCAGAGATTAAACACACTGGCTGCCCTTGCATAGGATCCAGGTTCACTTCCAAGTACCCACATGGCAGCTCACAATCATCCATTAGAAATCTGATGTCCTCTTTTGGCCTCTGAAGACACCACTTGCACATAATACACACAAAGACACGAACACATACATGCACCTAAATAAAAATCAATAACAATTTAAAAAATTATAGTAGCTAGCCAGTGGTGACACACACCTTTAACCCTAGCACTGAGTAGGCAGAGGCAGGCAGATCTCCATGAGTTCAACGCCAGCCTGGACTACAAAGGAGTTCCAGGACAGACAGAGCTGTTACACAGAGAAACCCTGCCTCAAAAAATCAAAATAACAATAACAACAACAATAATAATACAGAACAAAGTTGGGTCAATCATGCCTTTAAGTTTGAATTATAATTCAATTTTCTTGTCAGAAAATAACCAAAACTGCTGATCTATGAGAAAATTCTCAGCATGCACAGCCTAAAATGATTGAAAACCACATCATAGTTTGCTGTTTTCTGGAGTCTTCGCAGTGTCTGTTGCTGTCCACAACCTACAGCCTGCCAGGATCTCACCCCTCGTCTCCAAAGCTGGAGTCGACTTCACCTGTGTGACTTCACTCTCTCCCTCAGCATGTCTCCCTTCTCAACTGAGAAGCTTAGGGTCACACAAAATGTCAGGGTACAAGAACCCCCATTTCAGCTCCAGCTGGTCACCAGACCCACAGGTCAGTCAGGGACAGATGGCAGGGAGGGGAGGGTCCTGTAGGCTGCAACTACTGCTCCCAGCAGCCAGACTGACATCTCAAACCCTAATTCATCTTATTTCTGAGCTGAAACCCCAAGGGATCTTCCTAGCCAAAGCTGAAAGGACACCCCCACTCCCAAAGGCTAGTCTAGGGGAAAGAAAAAATCCCTCACAATGTACTTCTGTAGTTTGCTAAATTAGAGCATTTTTTGGACTAAGATGGTGACTCAGTGGTAGAGAACTTGCCTAACATGTGTGAGGCTCTGTGTTGGATGCCAGTACCACAGAAATGGGGGTGGGGAGAAAGAAGGGAGGGAGAAAGAGAGAACTTTTGAGTTTTCAAATGCCTAGGTCTGCTGTTCACTTAACAACCCTCCCTGAGCGCTCTCTGTGAGCTGGGTCTTGCTCCCAAGCCACTGCAGAGCCTGCCTTGGGAAGAAGAGACCAGGAAAGTACATACAGGATGGGGAGGTGAGAGCCCCAGCAAGCAGACCCTGTGCAACCACCCACGGGCTGCTCCTGCCTGCAGGAACCCCCTTGCCTCATCCACTCTGGAGTCCCCCCTCTGAGGGGACTCTCTGCAGAGACTAATTTCCCTCCCAGATGGAGGGGAGAAGGGCTGTAGGCTTCACGGTTCAGTGTTTGAGGGAACAGGGTCCTGCACCCCAGCTCCCATGCCTGGTGCTCAGATGTGTTCCTGAGGCTCTGCAGGCGACTTAGCCAGTCTCCAGCTCACTCAGCCCAGGGATCCTGTGGCAGAGCTCTGGGCCAAAAAGAGATGAGATCAGGGGAAAGGAATGAGCTTGGCATGGCTCTTCCTCCCTCCCACTTCGCACAGTCCAGAGAGAC